AAAAAAAAAATGGTTTTTCCAGATTTTAATGGAAATTTTAATTTCCTGGATATCTCTTTCAATCGGCTTCATGTATTCTATTTCTTTCTCAAATTGTTCACTGACAATTTCCAAATTCCATTTTCTAGGCTTCCTCAATTTTTTTAATCAATGTCATCTTTAGGTATACTCAGTAATTCTTTCATTATGTTATCATGTCTTTTTTTACCTGAGAGATTATTTCTGATCTGATTTCCTCTACACCCATGTGGAGTTGGTATTGTTTTTGTTTTACTTTAGTTGCAATCATTTCAGAGATTCCGAGTGTGTGACTTACAATTTCTTCTATGCTGATGTCTCCTGGGTTTCTTGTGGGTGGGCTGGGGGCCTGAAATTGCTTTTTCTCCTTTGCCTTGCCACTTTCTATTTTCAGAAAGGACTCTTTATTTTTATTTCTGTGATAATTCTTGTGAAATTTTGATAGTAAACAGCTATATCACTATTATCAGAGTCACTCTAGGAACAGTGTTTTTCAGGGATATCTTCTGTGTGTCAGAAAGTCTTGGTTTGTATCTGTCCTGCATTCTCAATTAATTGAGAGTGGGATGTTGATTTCCATTTGGTACTGTCCTCTGTCTTTCAGTGTAGGGATCTGGTGAGGTTATTACCCCAGCATGTCCCAAAATTATTACCCAAGGGAGAATAAGTCGTTAAGACAGATATGACATCCTAGCTACAGCAGTACAATTAGCAATAATAATATCAAGTAAAATTCAGAAGTTGAGAAACTTTAGTAACTAATGGCTTTGTACTTTAGACTACAGAAGCAAAGACTATAATTATATAATAAAACATCATAAATTTTAAGCTTGTATGAGAAATGTTTCTCCTTGTCAGAGCACATTTACCCTGTATTCCTCTGCCCAGTTGCCAGGTTCCAGGGGCTTCCCTTTCTATAGCCTGATGAGATTCACCTGGATTCCTCTGGCCAAGCTAGTTACCCAGGGTTCTGAGCATCTTCATTGCTTGTCCCTGTTGAAAAGTGTGCCAGATACCTGGATCCATCCTGGCAAATTAGTCCCCAGAGTTTTATATCTTCTCCCACAAAACAGCTTTTTAAAGAAGACAGATAAGCAAATCAGGTTGTTTTATAGTATGACATTACTTTATATTAGGGGGAAGTTATTTAGAAAGTAGAGAGAAGATTATTTATCCAATGTTTTACCTTATGAGGCATGAGGACTCCATCATGTTTGTCCTGATCATCTTTGGATTGTAATGAATGGCCAACATGTGGGGGACAAAGTACATTTTCTCTAGTCTCCCCTTTTACATATTTGACATCATACAAAAAAGAAATATCCCTAAAATAAGAAAAAAATATATATTTCAAAAATAACTTTTCATTCTGGCTACTAAATAAGAGTTAGTGAGATCTACACCTATCCTATTAGTGAGTGACATGATCATTTAGGTCAGCAAAACCCATCTCCTTACCTCATACTTTACTAAGAAGACCAGAGCTTTAGACATGCATTTCTCCAACATTCTTCCCCACCTGAAATCTCATTCACAGCACAAATGCTCTACTTCAATCTTAGGCTAAGATAAATTCTTTTTTCCATAGTTATTCCCTGCACTTATAAGCTTGGTTCCATCTTTGCTTACATCATTGAGTATTCTGCTCTATCAATCATAATTTTTGTGTCTTTTCCATTCCATTGAAACATTCTTCATGGTCTATAACCAGTTTTTCCCCCTTCTAAAAATCTTTGCTTTACCATAC